TTATTTATGCTACACTTATTTTCAATAGTAGAAAGACTTCAAGTAGCATTCTAAGCTAATATTAACATTATTAAGATCTTTTTAAGAAAAAAAAAAGCAAATGTTCTTCTAAAGTATCATCTCTATGATTGCTTAATTGACCTTCAAAAAATAGATCAATTGCCATTTGGACCAATCTATAATTTATCAAAAAATGAATTGATTGAATTTAAGGAATATAATAATAAAAAATAGCTAAGAATTTCATATGCTATTCCAAATCTTTAGAAAAAACTTTAATTTTTTTTGTAAAAATAAATAAATAAATAAATACAAATATGTACAAATTATCAATGACTCAATATGATTACCATCAAAAATATGTTTCCACTACTTTTGATATCCAAATTTTTAGATCAGTTGAATTAAGTAAAGATCTATATGAAAATAGATTTTTGAGGTGCATAAAATTTGGTATATATTAAAAAAAGATAAATAAAGGAAAATAAATAAAAGACTATATTTCAAATATGATGGTTATTTTAAATATAATGTCTTGCCTTTTAGACTCACAAATGTACCAATCACTTTTCAACATCTTATGAATAATGTCTTTCAAAAAAATTTAGATGATTTTATTGTTTATTATTTGGATAATATTTTAATCTATTCTAAGAGCAGAAAAGAATATGAACTTCATGTTTTTCATATATTATAAAAACTTAGAGATCTGAGATTATATGCTAAGATAATATATATATATATATATATATATATATATATATATATATTTTACACTACTCAAGTCAATTTTTTGAAATAGACTATTTTAAATGATGGAATTATGATGAATCTTATAAAAATTCAAACTATTATGGATTAAAAGATTCCAAAAATGATAAGTGATATCTAATATTATTTAAGTTTTATTAATTATAATTAGATTTTTATCAAGATTATTTTAAAATAAAAATTACACTTATATATTTGACTTCTAAAACAAACTTCGAAAAAACAAAGAAACAAAAGAAGTTTTGATGATTTGAAGACAAAATTTGTTTTTGTACTAGTTTTATATTGTATCAACTTGTCGAAGGCTCTTTTTATAGAAGTAGATGTATCAAACTTTATTTTAGATATTATATTATCATAAATAGGAACAAATGGTAAATTTCATTTAATAGCTTTTTATTTAAGAATTGTTTTAGCAATCAAGATCAATTATAAGATATATAACAAAGAACTTCTTACAATTATAAATTTATTTTAAGAATAATTTTATTATTTAAAAGATTCTTTTAATCCAGTTATTATATATACAAATTAGAATAATCTTAATTATTTCATATCAATATGTGCTTTGAATTATTGCCAAGCCCATTGGAGTATATCATTGTCAAGATTCAAATTTAAGATCACTTATTGACTAAAAAAATAATGAGATTTGTCAGATATTTTTTTTAAAAAATCTTATATTATATTAAAAAAAAGAAATATAACTTTTCATCAATATAGAATAATATTTTTCAAGCTAATTTTTTTTAATTTTTAAATATTGAAATTAAAATTGAATATTGATTCAAATTTTTTAAAATAAATTCAATTGAGTATGTATTTTGATCTTTTTTTTCATAATATTAAGAATAATTCTTCTAAGTTTCATGATATTTCTAAGTTTAAATTCAAGAATAATCTACTTTATTTCAAACGGCGTTTATATATTCCAAAAGGTGAAATATAATTACGTATTCTTCAAGCTTATCATGACTTTCTAACAACAAGATATTTTAGATATAATAAGACCTTGGAGCTAATATTTAGAGATTTTTGGTGGTCTCAAATGTAAAACATAATTAAAGAGTTTGTAAAATTATGTGACATTTGTTTAAGATCAAAAAATCCCTGTTGTTAATTTTAAGAACTTTTTTAGCCATTATCTATTCTAGAACAAACATAGTCTTTGGTTTCTATGGATTTTATCACAAATCATTTAATCTCAAGTTTTTATGATTCTATATTTGTGATAGTAGATTGTATTATTAAAATAGCATATTTTATATCATGTACAAAATCTATCACCAATAAAGAAATAATTAATTTTTTTTATAAGATCTATTGCTATTATAGATTATCCAATGATATTATATTAAATAAGGATATTTACTTTATTTTAAGATTTTGAAGAAATTTTTTTAAAATTTTAAATGTGGTCATAAAATTATCTTTAACTTTTCATCTTTAAATTGATGAACAAATATACCATGTAAATCAAATTTTAGAATAATATTTGGAGTGTATTATCAACTACCAAGTAGATGATTGAATAACTCTTTTGTCATTGAAAAACTTTTCTTATAATAATATGATATAGTCTTTTATTCAATAAATATTTTTTTTTTACTAATTATGGCTATTATCTATAACTTAATACTTTTGACTTCTCAAAAGTTGATAATCTTATAGTAGAAGATTTGGCAAATTATTTATCTGGACTAAGTACTACATCGAATGGACAATTAAATGAAACTCAAGAATAACAAAAAATTAATATGGATGTCTATTAAAAATATATATATAAATTTTATGTTAGCAATAATATATGATTATTTCATCATAATATTAAGACCATTTATCCTTGTGACCAGTTAGATTATTATAGACTTAGATTATTTATTATATCTGAATAAATCAATCAAATTGTTTATTGATTATATCCAGTTGAATCTAAGAAGATCTATTTTATATTTTACATATTTCTTTTTGAGCCATATAAGATAATAAATATTCAAGGAAAGAAACAAATTCCACTGCCTTCTATAGAAGTAAATAATAATAAAGAATTTAAGGTAGAAGAAATCTTAGATTTAAGGTGACATTGACTTATGTTAGAATATCTTGTTTATTGGTGCAAATCCAATATTAGTGAGTACACATGGAAATCATCAAAGAATCTTCTAAATACAAAAGAAAAGATTAAAGCTTTTTATTAATAACATCCATTAAAATCAAAATAAAGAGTTAAGTAAATCTTTGCTATAAAAAAAAAGATGTTCAATAAAGATTGCATTCCATCTTTTATTTTTTACTATAATTTTTTTATATCAATGGCACTAATAAGTTAAAAAACCAGAAATCAACAAGATTCAATTCAAGAGTTATTATATGTTGGATTATCAAACAAAACATTATAACTGTAATAGCCTTGAAGACAACGTAAAATTAACAATTTGGTACATATATAAGAAAGTTGCCTTCCAAACTAAGATATGTGTCTTATAAATTGGACATGGTCGAAGGTTTTGTAGAATATCTTCAAGTAGCTCCTAATTAAATAGTATATATGGAAGTAAGAATGAAGCCTTTTTCACTCTTATCAATTCTTTTTTTATTTCTACTCTAGTTTTAAAGGTCTTTAATTTTCTTGTCTTTTGGCAAAAGCCACTTCATTTTTTTTTAATATACACATTTTTTTATTTTTATGTCATATTTCTTTGAAAAAAGTCTCACTTGTCTATTTGCATTCATCAAATTATTATCTTTAATAATTAATACAATATATAATTTACTCAAAATAACAGTGCCAAAGATTAAGAAGCTATTGCTATTATATCATCACTATTAAGCATATTTTAAATTATAAAATAATATAAATATTAAAATATTTATAATTAAAAATATATATAACCTAATGAAATTAAAATAAATTCTTTGGAATTGGATAGGTAGATTTGGTAGTAATTATAAAAGATAGAAGTGTTATTCAATTATACTTATTTAATAACCATCAAGCATAGTGGTGGTCTATTTATAATTTGGATTGTATGATCACCTATGACATTAGTTACTTTACCAAGAATATAAATATATAAATGTAAATTTATATTGTAAGATTATTTGCAAGAAGCTCATAAAGACCTTTAAGTTATTACAACTTAGGTGTCAATAATGTAGTTTTCTATTAAGACAAAGATTCAAAGCACACTTTTTTTGATGACATGAATCATAACAAAACTCTAAAGAAATATTATTCTCTTGAGAAACTAAAAAATAAAAAATCAAAAAATCAAATATATATGTAAAATAGAAATTAAAATGGTTGTTGCTAAGTATAAAGAAACTAGAGATTCTTGAGTTAAGACAAGAACACAAGAAAGACATTGATAAGAATTAGAAAGGCCTCACTCTTGCCTCTATATATGCTATCAAATAAAAGTATTATGTAGCAACATACTATAGATTATTTAACATATGTCTGACTTGCAAAGTAAGTTTTTCATGTGATTTATTTAGTACTTTTCTAATCCAGATAAGTGTTAAACTAAAATACAAACATATCACCTAGTAAAGTGAGTTCTGATACTAATTAAAATATGATATATTCATCAATTTTTTTTAAAAAGAGTAATTATTCTTGTTATAGACACATTTGTAATCTTTTTCTTTTGACTCACTTTAATCATTTAAATAATACGTTATATATATACATATACACACACATTCAAATATGTATATTTGTTATAATATGATGTAATTTTTAATAAAAAGTCGTTCACATGTGTAATTCTTCTATATCAGAATCATACTCAGAACATATTAGATGGGTTACATGAAAGATTGGATTCAACTCAATGGGTGACAATAGGTGAATCACAATTGTTCCCATCATGTGTACTACACAATAGAATCAATTGATATACATATTTATACATATTACTTACGTTTTCATTTTTATATTATTTTATTGAGTAGTGAATAATGTGCATGTGAGAAGTTTTACTTTCATTTTACCACAATACAATCAAATCAAACAACCCCCCCCCCCCCTCCCCCATGATCACCAATCCACATTGGGGTACCACAACCAATTCAATAGGAAAGCAAAGCATCAACATCCAATCATTATTCTACCATTCTCCCTCTCTCCCATACACACACAATTTGCATGAATCCCTTTGGTATGCAATCCCCCACAAGGAATGCATTGTATTGTGTAATCCCATCCTTGCTGGGTGAGAAGAGTATTAATATTCCCACGGTCTTACGTACATACCCACTTCCTCACTTACCACAGGGCCCTGTCGGGATCCATCTATCCATCCATCCACCCTTTCATCCATCCACCCATCCATCCGTCCGTCCACCCTTTCATCCATCCACCCTTTCATCCATCCATCCATCCATCCCGAGAACCACCCATCCATCCTTCCATCCATCCCGAGAACCACCCATCCATCCTCCCATCCATCCTTCCATCCATCCCGAGAACCACCCACCCATCCATCCTCCCATCCATCCTTCCATCCATCCCGAGAACCACCCACCCATCCATCCTCCCATCCATCCTTCCATCCATCCCGAGAACCACCCACCCATCCATCCTCCCATCCATCCTTCCATCCATCCCGAGAACCACCCACCCATCCATCCTCCCATCCATCCTTCCATCCATCCCGAGAACCACCCACCCATCCATCCTCCCATCCATCCTTCCATCCATCCCGAGAACCACCCATCCATCCATCCTTCCATCCATGTATCCATCCATCCCCGAGAACCATCCATCCTTCCTTCCCCGAGAACCATCCACCCGAGAACCATCCATCCATCCATCCCCTGCGGGAACAAGGGAACGCAGGAGTGGCGTGGGGAACAAGCGGTGGTGCCTTCTGAGCAAGGGAACATGTTAGGCTCTGGAGCACGCTGCTGCTGCCGCGGCTCTGCGGCTCTGCAGGCCATGCAGCAGCAGCACCAGATGCAGCATTCAGGTGCAGGGCGTTGTAAGGAGCGGGGACGCGACGCCAGAGAGAAATATGCGTACAATGCGAGAAGCAGAGCGCCGAGAACAAGAGAGAAGAGGGTAGGAGGGAGAGATAGCGGGGAGTGTTGACTATCGTAGGGGAGGGAAAAGAGATCTTCTTTGGCTTGATTACTTGATGGGATGCTATGCCTACGCCATAGCCGCTTCACGAAACCAGGACCGGGTCAGAAGGAAGACGAGGCCGTGGCACAGAGCAGAGCAGAGTAGAACAGAGGTGGTGAGAAGTAAGTGAGAAAGAAAAGCAAGCGTGTGAGACAAATTAGCAATCGAGAGAGAGAGCGAGAGAAGAGAGAGGGGCGGGGGTGGGGTGGGGTGTGGGGGACCCCCTTGGGAGTAGCAGCAGCACAGTGGGGCCCTGTTGTCGGACTGGGCCAGCTATGGAGTTTGTTGCCATCCCAGCAGTCAAGAAGGCTTTCGTTCACAACGCCACGACGAGTATGATAACATAGTGCGGCAGAGTCGATCGCAGCCAGCCAGCCAGCTAGCCCCCTTCTTCGCTTTCACGCTCCAACACCTCTTGTGGGCATCCGTCGATCGTCAGCTTCACATTTTGTTTGGATTTTCTCATCTTTGGACGCTTT